AAAGGAGATGTCTAGTGTTTCGGGACGCAGAACCCACCTCTGCGTTGTAGTCAGTCTTTTAGGCAAGCTGCTTGTCATTTGCAGCACCTCTAATGGCAGTTTCACTTGATGATGATGCTCAGGACAGTTGCTCAAATTGTTAAATGTTTTCACAGCCCACAAGGATTTCCTACTCTTGATTTAAGGTGTTCGTGTGAATTTTCAAATAGTGGTCCACCTAACACACCTGTTTTTTCTCAAAATTACACGGAATGTTCAGACAAATAACTAGCAAACATCTTGACTCATAACATTATATTTTAAATAATGAGAAAGATTGGGATACAATAGCGGGTCTATTGTTGATGGAAAGGAACAATCCAACTATTATACTTGGCATTACAATGGTACAGACAAAATAATATATCATTGTAACAATAGTCACTAGTCTGCACTGCCACCGCATGAATGGAATTTGTAAAGTGCAGTTGGTGAACTCATCAGCCGATCAATCATACTGAAAAGCCTTTAGTAACAAAGTCAAATACTAAACTGATCAGTGAAAATACTGTTGTTTAATAAAATAGTAAATACGTTGCCTTAAAGCCAAGATTTCTGAACTGGAGAAGCTGGGAGAGGCAGAGAAGTTGGTTGAGAAGAAATTTGGGAACCCAATCGGTGTTTCCCAAGTCCCAGCTTCTCTACAGTCCTCAAAAATGATATTGTAACACTGCGTAAGGTGCAAAAAAGGGCACCCAAAATTATTACTTGGGCTTGGACCAACTCCCCGATGAAGAAGTTATGACATCTGGAGCTTTTTGGTTTAGAAGGAGAACAAAGGGGTATGTGTGCCCTGGCAGGTACACAAATTGATGCATGGTGTTTGTCCCTCTCTCAGATTACCAGAATGTGGGGACATCTCATGAAGTTCAACTGGGAGGTCCAATAAGGACAAGCTCTTCTTCAGACAGTACATGCTTTGTCAATAAATCAGACAGCTTCAAAAGGAGGTTACACAAGTACATAAAGGAAAAGGCATATAACGGCTAAACGTTACATCAGGCCCCAAAATACCATGCCTCAGTAGTGAACCAGTGGCAAGAAATGGTGGTTGCCATTTGTGGGCTTTCCCCAGGTAACTAACTAGTTACTGCATGAAACCATATATTGGATTAGGCAGACCTTTAGTTTGATCCAGCAGGGTCCTTCTTATGTTGTGATTTCCAAATGAAAGATGAACCTTAGTACTTAATGTCTATGCAGTTTGTTCTTTTCTCCTTTCAAAGGAGTGTGATGGCCTTTTCAGTGTTTATTACATTTCTGTACTGAGTGAGGGTCAACCCTCTCTGTGTGGTTCACAAAAGTTTAAAATCATGCTAAAGGATAAAATATGATATGAAACATTTAAAAGTTAAAACAGAATAAAATTAAAGCAGGAAACAGAATAAAGTTTTCAGCCATGGAAATATCTAAAAACCAAGTATGCAATGAAAAAATCTAAACTTAAAGGACTAAAAAGCTTGGGAATTTTTAAAAAGATCTTCACCTGTACCCAAAAAGAATACAACAGGGGCCTCAGAGAAGCTCTTCTTCAAAAGGCAATCTGTAACAGCGGTGCCACCACCAAAAGTTCTTCGGTGCAGGCATACTTAAGAAGATATTGCGATAAAGTGAATATTGCAATAAAGTGAGTCACACATTTGTTTTTGTTTCCCAGTGCATATAACAGTTATATTTACACTATAAAGGTAACAGGTAAACGTTTCCCCATTACATTAAAGTCCAGCATTTGTCTGCAGACAGTCTCCGTGGTCATGTGGCCAGCATGACTAAACACCAAAGTGCACGGAACGCTGTTACCTTCTCACCGAAGTGGTACCTTTTTATCTACTTGCATTTGCATGCTTTCGAACTGCAAGGTTGGCAGGAGCCAGGACTATATTTACACTATACTGTAGTCTATTAAGTGTACATTAGCATTAGGTCAAAAAAGCAATGTATGTGCCTTAATTAAAAATACGTGACATCTAAAAAAAAAAAATGCTAACCATCTTCAGTGAGTCTTCAGTGAGTTGTAATCTTTTTGCTGGTGGAAGATCTTGCCTCAGTGTTGATGGATTACATGGGCATGGTTTGTGGCACCCCACAACAATCACAATAGTAACATCAAAGATCTCTTATCACAGATCACCATAGCAAATATAATATAAAGAAAATGTTTGAATTATTGCTAGAATTACACAGAGTCATGAAGTGAGCAAACGCTGTTGCCAAATGGTGAACTTCTCATATGATTTGCTCGGGGCACCCAGTGAGAGATTCAGGAAAATATATATGGGGGACAGATGGTCTTCAGGTTACTTGGCCACAAGCCATTTATGGGCTTTAAAAGTTAATCCCATTACTCTGAACTGGATCTGGAAATGGACTGGAAACTGATGTATTTCACAACTGATCATAATGACTAGTCCCCATTAACAATCTTATTTCCCTAAGTTTCTGTAGCATTTTCAAAGACAGTCTCACCTATAGCACGTTGCAATAATCCAAATAAAGGCAACTGTAGCTTGGCTACTTCTGTCCAGACAGATTGATAAATCGAAATGACCCTAAACTAATAAAGATGTTCCATGCCACCAAGCTCAGCTGTGCTGCTAATGACACTACTGGATCCAAGAGCTTTCCTCAACCTATAAACTCAACCCTTCAGAGAAAATGCTACCCACTCCAAAGCAGATTGGGTACCAGTAACAATACATCTGTCTTATCTGGATGAGATCTCAATTTATTGGCCCTCATACTGTCTATCACTGTACTCAGGGTCTGTTTCAGAACAGTCACTGCCTCATCTGCACTTGAAGAAAATGAAAGACAGAGCCAGGGGTGAGCGCCATACTGGTGATGCTTCAGCTCCAATTTTAATTCTTATTAATATGAATTAACAGCTAATCAATGAAAAGGGAATATATGGCAAAATTAGGATTTTTAAAAAAATTACACTAAGGGAAGGAACAGCAGGAACAAATCTAAACATAGTGTTTACTTTCTGAAGAGAGATGTGAAAGCTCAAAAAAAGGAAGACCTCATGCCTTATGTCCTTTAAATGTGATCTTTGTTCCAGATGTGTAGGACAAACTACAGTTGTCACTCTTGCATATTTAAAAAAGCACTTTTCTATACTACTTCACATAAACCAGAATTAGAAAATCCAGGTATGTAGGAGATTGCCATAAAAAAAGTTCCTTACCCAAAAGCCAGAGAGCAACCTCTCTGTCTGCATGCTACCTTCTACTAATATAGGGTTCGAGAAGCAGAAAATAACACGCAGTTTGCAGGTCGAAGATAAGGAACTAATTTGCCACCAACCACCTGTTAGTCTTGGGGAAGGGTATGAGAGAAGCTTCTGGCAATTCTAAGTACACCCCCTCCCTTGTCCCCTTAAGCTTTTGAGACAGCAGCTGGGCAAGTCCCCTTCAGAGCTTACACAGGGCGAGGCAATTTGATGCTGACTAGATGTTTTGGATGACAACTTCAATAAGCTGCAGCCAGCATGGTCAATAGTCAATGATTATGAGAGCTGTCAACTAAAATATCTGGTGAGTACAAGACTGCTTACATCTGGCTTAGATGTCCCTTTGGGGAGGTGAGAAATAGGCTAAAGATTTCCTTGTCTCCACTGTAGGTCTAATGCTTTGATCAGCTTGACTTCAGGAGATGAATACATCTTGCCATCTTCATCTAAGACATACTACCTTTAGGCTTCTGAGCTGATGAGCAAACTGGAGAGCTGCCACTGCAGCTTCCCTACTTGGAATATATGCACTGTGGCTTGACCAGACAGGCAGCTGTGTTGCAGTCAGCAACAAAGAAGCAGGAAGCATGAGCAGAGCAGGAAGAAATGAAGAAGTGGGAAGAAGATTTTTTTTCTTTTTGTCCTGGCTTCTTCCCTTACACAAATATTTTTCACAGATTGTACTTGTCCAATAATTATTACAAACTTATCTATCACTGGCAAGACAGCCACAAGCAGCCATTTCCTAAACACATTTCTTCTTGTTAAAAAAAGGTAGTAAACTAAAAGAAATATATTATCTGGGCATTACCCTACAGAAATAAAAATCTGTATTTTCAGAGAGGGAAAAAAAAGAACTGATCATCTTTATAATCTAGGCAACAATCCTACTGATAATTCTGAAAGTGGAATGTTGAGAGTTTCACCCTACCGCCACCCATTTCTCCTCACCATTATTTCTCTTCCTATCTGTCAGGCAGCAGTGGAAACAATCCCCCCCACAAGACACACATATGCACGTTTTTGCTTCTGCTTCATTGGACATTCACATTTTTGATATTAGCATTACAGTGTAAAATCAGGGAAAGATAAGATCTTTGAACATCTGGATAGTGAAGCATCCCTGCATGAAGCTAAAAAGTGAGTACTAATAAGAGAAAGAATTGTACCAGTGATGAGATAATGGATGCAAACAATGGTTCTAAAGGAATGTCAGTCAGCTTAGTCAAGGGGATAAAATCGATTGAAGTGAGATGATTACTTAGTCATCATTAGTGATGCCTTATTTCTCTATCTGGATCAATATGAAACAGAAGTTCTTTGACTATTAAAACATTGGAGGAACATTCTCAGATTTTTAGATGATTAGCACAAAAGATGAGAACATCCTGCCCACTGTTCCCATCATTACGGATGGTCCTTTGACAGAGACAGTTAGAAGCACAGATTCTTCAGCAGGTGGCAATACCCCAGAGAAAATGGATCTGGGGTTGAGAAATGCATTTATTTTAAACATCAGTTAACCATGCACGTAGTTGATGTGTGCTTTCACTGGAAGCAGACTTACACTTTTTTCTGAAATGTACTATGATCTAGAGTTCTACCTTGAATATGCCGTCACCAGAAATTTCGGAGAATTGACATTTTCAGCAGCACCAGATTGTAAAATCTGATGGCTTTTCATTTAGAATTAAAAAGGTAAGCCATTTCCCCCTAACCAGACACTTACCAATGGCCTTTGTGTAGTGCCGTGCACCAAGTAACAATTCCGGGGCTCTGTACCAAAATGTCACCACGACTGGATCTAGATCTGCCAGAGGCTTAAGTGGAGAATTGAATAACCTTGCAAAACCCATATCAGCTGAAAAAAATAATCACATAGTGTAGTTATTACACTAAATGCAATTGTTTCTAAACCAAAATATGCCGAACCACTGCCAACCTCCTCATTCCCACTACTCCACATACTTCAATATACTTATTGTACACTTTCCTACCCTGAATATTCCTTATTGAAATAGAAGGGCAGGGTTAAAATTCTATAAACAAGTAAATGCAGGTCAAAGTCAGGGCTATGAGACAACCAATCAAAATTAAAACAAGGTGTGGCACAGCTACAAGAAGGCTCTTAGTCATTTTTGGAACACAGCGACACAGCTATTCTCCGGAAATTAATATGGATTATTGTGCAACACTTGTAAAACTGAAATGTGACAAGCTTGGCTTCCAGGAGAATGGCGACTTGATGAAGCAGCAGCAAATGTTGCTGCTTTGTGCCTTATCATGTTTGGGTGACTATAAATCGTTCTGAGGGGTGTTTACCTCTCTAAATGACAGGTGAGCGTCAAGACTCTCGGTCTGTAACTCTGTTTTCATCAAGATGGCCTGATAAGGTAATACTGGAAACAGTACACAAAATCTGCCCCCTGCAACACACACACACTTTCTCTTTTCATTTTATTATTTCTTTTTATATTAAGACATTTTCTTTGCCAAGGGAATAGCACACCAATTTGATGAAACTTGAACTTTTAAGGCATTTTTGTTTGCATATTTTGAAGGGATGCTGAAACAGATAATCTTTTGTTGACAAACAGTGTCTTATTTGCAAAGCTGTTTAACATCTCTACTCTAGAACTAAGCATTACAAATACTGTAAACTGACCTTGGTATGAAAATCCTAGCTGGGTGAATCTTTGTGCTTAATTGTACTTTTTGAATTGAGAAGGAAGACAATGGTGCTTTTCGGACAGCTGAGACATGAAGTTATGATTTTGGCTGTGATCCAAATTTTAAGGCATGTCTGTTTCTCTGCTTGGAAAGGACCTTGAAAAGGATACTCTTCTACTTAATTTTGCAGCTGTAAATTATCTGGTATTTTTATTCAAGAATCCTGGACATTATAAATTACCTTGGCTGAGGCTCACTATAGCAGAAGAGACGGTTCTCTCCCCTTTCATCACCATTTTTAAGGGAGTTGCTGGTTGTTTAAGTTGGGCGATTTTTTGTTGCTGTTTTTGATCTAAACTAGACATGATTTACTCTAAGGAACAATTTTACCTCCCTGATGGGACTTGGGGGTTTTTCACTGGTCCCTGGCCCCTCTTAATAATAAAAAATAATAATCCTAAAGAACAAAGAACAAACATTAGCTCTACCTATTGGACCTGGAGAAGATTGGAAGTCAAGGCCCCTTGCTATGAAAGTTGGAACAATACCTCTTTTTAACAAACTAATTCAAACTAATACTTTAATAGAGATAGAATGGGACTACTAATTCTAATATTGATAGAAGGCTGATTAACTAGCATTAGCATCTCTTGTCCTTTTTCTCTCTGTTTCCGCCCCACCTTTTATCTTTTCCTTGTTTTTTTCCTTTCTTGACTCTTCTCCAACTCTTCTGCTTTAAGCTGTACTGTCAAATTATAGTTTACTTTTAAGTATGAAGAAATGTGAGAGGAGAGGAGAGGAGAGGAGAGCCATTAATGCAAGAAGGAAATCTGAATTGGATGCTGGAAAGCTGATGACAGATCTGAAAAGAGATGGTCATCTGAGCTCCTTAGATTGATTTTTAGAGACAGGATGAAGATATTATTGACTAATATTAATGCATTAAATTTTTCTTCTAAGAGAATCAAAGCTGTTTTTCATGAGACTTAAAAATATAGTGTCGGAGAGCCTTTCAGGGAATATGTCAGAGTTAGGATTGCAGCTGGTTCTGGATGGAGATCACCAGAGCCCAAAAGAATGGACGAATGGAGAAATGGATTGATGGAATTTTATTTATTTATTTGTGATATTTATATGTCATCCTATTGCAAAAGTGCTGTTTAGAAGATTGCTAGAGGAATGTGCAGCATGATAAGTGGATCTGAGGTGTTTAAAAAAGATATGGAAAGCTGCAGAGGATCTGAAGTGATTGGAGGATCTGCTGCATAGATTGAGGATTTTTTTTGCATCACTTTTTTGTATTACATTTTTATCGAGTGTTGATGGATAGATTCCAAGGGCTGATTGTACTGGTTGAATTTGTATTGAATTCCCTTGGCAATTTTGCCTATTTCAGCTTGCTCTGTTTATTATAGTTGTTTTGCTTTCAAATAAAAGAAAAAAGAAAAAAATGGAATGTGACAAGTTTGGAAGGAGTGCAAATGTAATACACATTTTTTTCTATGCAGTTTTTTTTTTAAAAGTAAATTTTGGTGCTTTTCAGTTAAGCATCATTTGACATTGTTGGTCATCTTGTGATCTCCATGTATACAGTCATCTGAGCAGTTACTTGAAATATGCATTTCATAATGAAGTAACTGTTGGCTTCAGAGAATTCTACTCAGTCATTACCAAGCTTCATTTCTTACCCTTAGGTCAAATTCTCCCACATCTAAATCTGTTTTGTTTCCTACTTTTGCATTCCAGTCACTTAAGATTATCAGAATGCCTTGTTTTGGTATGTTATTAATTTCTTCTTGGGCACTTGCAGAAAAGTTTTCAATGTCTTCTTCTTCACCATCTATTGCTGGAGCAGAGACTCAACAGGTGGTTATGTTGATAGGTTTTCCACTAATTTTGATTGATTTTATTTGCATTGAAGCCCTTTACTGCCTGTGCTACATCTTGCCTCAGTATTAGAGCTACTTCATTTTTTCTGAGTTTTTCATTTCCAAAATAAAAATCTTTGTATTTGCCTGATGGAAAATGTGTCATTCCTGTACACTTTAATTCACAGACAACAAGAACTACAATGCTTAGCCTTTCCATTTCTTGCTTTACAGTTCCCAGCCTGGATTCATACTTCTGATATTAGATGTGTGGGACAGCATTCACCTTTACGCATGTCAGCTGATAGACTTCCTTTTGGCTTTGATCTAGTTGTGACATCCACGATGCTATTTGTACTCATACTTTGCTCTTTCCCAGTAGCTTGTTGAGTGCCTTCCAACTTGGGATCTCATCTTCTGGTGCTTTCTCTTGTTTCATTTTGGATTGTTTCATTATAAGAGTTTCAAGGTAAGAAGATTCAGAAGTAGGTTACCATTGCCTTCTTCTATGCAGTACTAACCAGAGTTAGTTTGGAACCCACTACAACTGCCTGGGAAAGATCCTCCACCAGTGTCACCTTCAACTAACACTGCTGCCCAGTAGTTGCTCTTCAGAAGTTTCTCCAATCCCATCACCATTAGAAAGATCCATCCTCTTCCGCTGATGTAATTGTTACTCCTGAAAAGGGTGGATGCATCTTAGTCTGATGCCTCAGCTTTCACCCTGGGTCACCCTGCTAGGAAACCAGCCCAGTGAGACAGCCTGGGCTCCTGGAGGCACTGGTCTCAGCATCTCTGATTTTAAAAGTTCTCCTGATTTCAGTGGAAGAGTTAAACAATTGCTTAAATATCTCTTAAGGACATTCAGGACTTCAAAGTAATTACGTTTTTAATGAACAGCCCAAAGCATAGCACAAAACATGTGATCTATCATTGTTTTGCTGTTCTTGGTATATGAATAATAAGACAGAAAGTACAGTACTTCTCCAACACTCTCAAAACCCCTCACCATGTTAGGGTGAGCATCAAAGATGGGGTTCCATGAGTGGCTAGCATATTTCCATCAGATATTTCTAGAGGCATTTGGTAGTTTGCATGGATATTTTACCTACAATAGAATCACGTACCTGATGGTGCTCATATTTATTACACTTTAATTCTAAATATTTTTGCTGGTGTTTCCATCTTGATTGTGCACTTAATGTCATACCAATGTAGTTCAGCATTATTTATATGAGAACACCCTGGTGAAGTGAAACCAAGATCACAATATATGTTGCTACCAATTTCCTAGAAACACAAAGCTTTTCTCATTCCCTTCATTTTAAGTGTGGCTCTTTGCAATGTTATAAATGTCTAAACATACTAAACTCTTACTGTAGTGTGCAGTAGAGTTGGGGCAGGAATCAGGGAAAGTCTACGGAAGAGGGAAAGTAGAAGAGGACTTTCCTGTTGCTCTACCCCACAGCAGTTTCCCCCAGAGTTGGGGGAATCTGCTAAATGGGATGAGCTAAGGTTCAGGACAAAGGGGATCAGAGAAAACTGGACAGAGAAACCTTCTGTGCACCAGTTCTCACTTATGGAAGGTGACTCTGCACAATTTTGGTGATCTTGCCCTTACTGTAGCAAACCCCATTTAGCAGGTTTGCTGACCTCTTAGTACAGGCTTTTCCGGGTGCTGGGGAGGCTACTAGGGTAGAACAGGGTGGGAAAGTCACTTCCTACATGCTTGTTTCTTAAAGCAACCTTTTGTCTGTAACTCATAGGTGCCTTGCACCAAATTTATCTTCAGGTCAACAGTTCAAATTCTAAATATGTTGAAATTCTAAATATGTTGAAACACTTACCTATTCAAATTCAGTTCAAATTTTAAATATGTTGAAACACTTACCTATTTTTACTCTTCCTCTTTCAGGACCTTCTCCCATTACCAAAATATTTGCTGGTTTCTGCAAGGTAAAACATTTCACTCATTAACATTAAAATGTACCTTGTATACCTTAAAAGTTTAATAGGACTCATACCATGCTCACTTATTTGGAAAAGCTTTTTTAATTTTATGTGATCCATGTGTACTTCTGTTCAAAAGGCCTTTAAAGTTATTGTTTCATGTTATTCAAAGCACAGTTTAAATTGCCCAAATATTCCTTTGAGGTTAATCATAGGACCCTAAGTATTTCAAATGCAGCTTACATATTTTATGTAAAAATATGAAAACCACATTATTGCAGATATTTAATGCAATGAAGAGATCTTACCCATATATCACCTACCTATCAAACTTTTTACAACTAGCCCACCTCTATTTTATCCCTACATTGCCGTGTTTTTTCCCTACATTGCCGCAGTCTCCATCTTGTCTGTAATGAGTAGCTGGCAATATGTGACTATCCAGAACATGGTATGTTTACAGGACCACTTACCACCTTCTATTGACATGGAAGAGAGAGTATCCTAACTCTTTATAACTTAGGCTATGAGCTCCTGGGCAAGCCAAGCCTAACCCTCTCCTTGCATCCTAATTTAGTCAGGACAATACTTTGCCAACCATTAACTGACTACTGAGAGCCCAGAGGTTGTGATCTCCCAATTAGCACTGAAGCACACCCATTTAGTGTCAAATATCCATCTATTCAGAGAAGCACAAGCAGGCAAATCTTTTGCTTTATTCATTGGGCAACCTTGCTTTCACATGCTGATCTGATTTTTAAAAAAATCCATGCCCATTAATAATTTTGGACCCCTGAATCTAGTATTTCCCTACACATTTTATCAATGTTTGCTCTTCACATCTGCTTTTCCATTTGAGAGAGTCTGTCAATCTTTTTGTTGCCCTCAACTGAGTAACCTTTTCCCCTCTGAAGCCACAGCTACAAAGTGAGGTTTCTGTCACATCTTTGATTCAGATACTTCCATTATAGTGGAGTTTTGCCATAGGGCATTTGGCAAGTAAAAAGCAATCCTGTACAAGTTTTCTATCTTTCTAGACATACTGTATATCAAGAAAATAATGTTTTGCCAGGATTGTTTGATTACATGAAGTAATGTTGGAAGCATCAGGATAGTAACCACTAGTATTAAGTCTGCTAGTATCAGATTCTGAAGGAGACTAGAGGAACCTTAATCTCTAGACCAAGGGATTTTGCCATTTTGAGGAGTAGTTCCATGTATGACCTTTAGTTATCCAGGGAGGAGAGCAGATTTTGGTTCCCTACAATGGTGCCCAGTGAGGTTGAGGTCCAGACAGTTGAGTATGAGCAACAGCCATCCTGTGCATGAGAAGGATTTTTAGGCAATGTCTCAGTGTTGGGGCCAGCAACAGAGAACTAAGTTGGCATCATAACTATGCAGCTACTGCTGGCTCCAGGAGTTTTTTTTTTCAGGACCACATCATGAAAGAAGTTAGCCAGAAGAGTGGGGCACAGAGCAAATGGTAAACTCATAAAGCTTCGCACGGTGGTAACCTGTAGTAACAAGGCATTAGGTGAATTAGATACTGTGAGAGACAGTGTTGCAAAGTTAGAAGTTGCCCGATGTAAATCAGAAGAGTGATGCAAGTAGTCTCTGTCCCTGTACTCATAATGGTGCTATCTCAGTGGTAAACAGTCTTCATAATAACAGGGAGGAGACCTGTAAAGGTGGGGGCGTTTATGACTTTCCCATGATGTACCATACGAATAATGGAAACCTCCTGAAGAAGCTGTCTGGTGAGGTCTACTGGAAAGAGGCAATCTCTGCTTCCAAGGAGAACGCTTTTGAGAAGGGCGATGGTATGGTTCTAGCAAGAGGCATTCTGGGGAGTCAGTTTCCAATACCATGCCCAGACATTGGATATCATCTGGGGAGTTAAAGTTCCTCCAGTTTCTATACTTAGTTATAGTTATAGTTAGTTATAGTTATAACTACCTCCATGGTTGGTATCCAAGACTCTTAAATCCACAAAATCTATTGGGATGTTTGTACTCCACCTATTTAATGGTTTAAGGAGATGCACATTAAAAATATTGCCCCAGTTTTGACAAAAAGATTGGTATTGACTGCAAAAAGCCCTTTTCAAAACTACCAAGATTTTAACTGTGTGATGTCTTACCAGTGTAATGAATGTGAAATATACTTAAAACTTGCTGAGGGTATTTCCAGTATTCCTTCCACTAATTGGAACAGCAGGTCACAACAAATTGAGGTGACAACTGGAACACTTAGTCCTTCACTTGAAGAACTATGGTTTCCCTTACATTGAGCACTTTGGGAATAAAGCAGTACATCAACATTGGACTCCATCTGAATCCTTTGGTACTAGGAACCCAAATAGATGAAAACAGATTTTCTTTAAAAACATTATAGCTGAAATTCAACTCGCACTTAGAACAAAGTTTTCTTCTGTGTAAACATGCATAGGATTACTCCATAACAATGTTTAAAAGCAGATTCTTTAAAAGGAAAAAAATCCTGCATGTTATGGTTGCATTTGTTCTGTTTGTTACTGGATGCCTTGAGTGATGGAAAGATAGCTAATAAATAATTTTAATTAATATATTTAAACATTTTATACTACCCTCCTTAAGCCCTAATTTAAAATACCTCATCACCTAAACCCTTAATTCTTAAAATCATGCATGCAAGTTAAAACACTTCGGTGAACAAAACTGTTTTAGCTTGTTGCAACATGGGCGCCAGGCAACTTGCAATAGTGAATACATTCCATAGTCAGGACATCACTGCCAAAAATAACCTTTCAGCAGAAGTTCTTACTTCATGGGCAAGCAGCTATGGTAAAAGGTACTCCTTTGGATACTGGCTCCCAAACTATTGAGGACTTTAAAGGTACAGATCAAGAGTCAAATTCAAGAATGCCAGGATAGTAATCCAAAATATTAGGCAGGTTCCATGTTGAGCAAGAATGTTCCAATATACAAGATCTGTACTTGAGGGACAAATAGGGTTTCCCACAGCAACCTATGTCTTTTTGCTGTAAAAAACACATTAGCAAAATGCGTAAATTTTATTTGCTCCTAGAAAACTGGAGCACTTTTTTTCCTCCAGAAGTCATGTTGTTTCCTTATAATTGTAGTTCTTCAAGTGGCCATCTGTGCATTCACACATATGGACTCTGTGCCTGTGCAGAGCCCCATTTTGGGAAACTTCTATAGCTGAAGAATTTAAGAGGAAACATTTCTCCCACCATCCTAATATACATGTCCTTAGTTAATTCCCAGCTGTTCCCTCAGTTCCCCGAGACCACATGTTGTGGTCTTAGATACAACAGAAATGTTAGTATCAAGACCAATGCAGAGTTTGACATCAAGAGACAGTACAACCAGCTTTGTATCATACTAAACTTAACAGGAACACTAAAGTGTAGATAGTGGTGTGAATGCACAGATGATGGTTCAAAGAACTACAATTATAGTCAATGAACCTGTCTTTCCTATTCATGTAAATCACAAATATGGGTGAAGCAACAGATATAGCAAGCTGACTTACTGGAGGGACATAAGGTGTCATCACTGCAGTCGGGACATATACACTAGATGACCAAAAGAGGAGTCAGGCCTGGCATGGTCATTCAGCCCACAGTGCTGAATAAACATGGATGGCTTTGACCATGGATGGCAGCCTAAAACAACTCAGGAAAGGGGACATCATTTCCAGAAGCAGGAGCTCCATGAGAAGGACTTGCTTTCAGTTGTTCTGGAAGTTCTAACTTGGCTAACTTGTAAACAAGCTTAATTTTCTAAAAAACCCAAAATGCAGGGTACTGGAAAAGACAGAGAATCCTTTGCACATCCCAGCATTGTATCAATAAAGACACGACGAATGATGAAAAGATTCAGTGCAGAGAGCTATAGGCCTTGAATACATGAACAGTCCATTCTAATGGAGAAGAAATAGCTGGAAAAAGGTAGGTCATATTATGTCCTAAGTATGATAATCCAAGATGAGCTTTGGAATAAAAGCCATGTCAGACTGCAACATGACCTTGTCTTTATGGGAAAGCATATATGAGCATCTACTCTGGGGGCACAATATCAGAATTTTGGCCAGAATTTTCATGGAAACAGGAGGAAAAAGTAGAAAAAGGAAAAAGCATTCTCTATAGCAGTGGTGGCGAACATATGGCACACGTGCCACAGCAGGCACGGAGAGCCCTCTCTGTTGGCACGTGAGCCAAGTCACCCCAGCATCATCCCAGCATCCGAGCATCAGGTAACAGTGCACATGGGGTGCACGTTCGGAAAGGAGTAGCAGTGCCAGGCGATGATGTCATGAGCCATGACTCATTAGTCGCAACTCATCCGAGCTTTCGCATGGCTGGTCAGTGTGCTGCCAAGGAGAGATATATATTTGCTTGGACTGGCTGTGAGTTGTTTTTTCTAAACTAAAACCTCAGTTTTCAGGTTTTATTGCAGTGTTGGCACTTTGCGATAAATAAGTGGGTTTTGGGTTGCAGTTTGGGCACTCGGTCTCTAAAAGGTTCGCCATCACTGCTGTATAGACTTTGGATCCATACCAACCTAACTGCAGAATCTGGGACATACAGCATTATCCAACATTGTGAAGAAGTCTCTTAATGAAGAATTCCATCAGAGAAATAAGGTACATATTGCTTTTGGGTTCAGCTACCACTCAGTTGACACCTGCAGCAACCAGCTCAAGATATCTGTGCTTGTGTTGCTTGTACCAGCACTGTGCCACGCTGTCAGAGACATTTTCCCCGGTGGAATTGAGCTCAGACAAGGATGCTGGAAAAGAAAAGCAGTATTCTTTTCCTGAACCTGATTGCAGAGAAGGGGCTTGTCTCTTACTCTTTACAGGTTGTTCAGGTAGATTCATCAGATGCTAAGGAGAAGGCAGAGAAGCAAGCTGGGTAAATGGAGCTAACTAATTCAAGGTTAAGTCATAAACGATGGAGCCTTCCATAACTACAGTGGTGTTGGTAGCAAGGTTG